GAAGGCCTGGCGCAATATGGTTCATGGGGTCACGAAGAGTCGGATACGACTTAACGACTGAGCAACAACAAAGCAAATATTTTAAATCCCTGGGCTTTGAAAATAAAAAGGACTGTGTATTCTTCACATGATTTCTGAACAGCCCTTCTGAAAGCATAACCGGATATCCAATTTACAGGGCTGAGCAGGGACCCCAAGCTTACCCGTAAAATGCTCCGCGATCCAAATCTTCTCGTCGCTGCGGTTTCCGAGATCCATCATCCACGCTCCGTAACTCTGCCTCAGTTTGATGATCTCCTCAGGGCCTCCAATAGAGTCAATCATGTTGTCTAACAAGGAGAAAAGAGTCAGCACAAGAGGCAGGCGTCGACAAGCCCAAAAAGCTTTCAAGAGGGGTTTGGAATGAATTACCGGGTTTTCTGCGCTGATAGAGATGGCCTTTTTCTTTTGCTTTCCCCACCAGAGTATCATCATTTGGAATACTACATGCTTCCCCTAAAATGGTGGGCAGGAGAGAAAGACAGAGATTGCAGCTGAGTTTTTCAAAGAAAGGCATCGTTTCATGATGCTAAAAAAAGACTTTTTTTTTAAATGATTATAAAACTTTTTTCGACCCCCACCTTTCAGGTTTAAGAGCTTGACAGTTCACAGCATAGGTGCGCAACCCAGGGCCCTCAGCTCCTTTCTGGCCCCCCACGAAACCCCCAGAGTAGGCAGGGACACACATTCCAGCCCTTTGGCAGTGGTTGGAGATACAGGAGAGTGGGGGTCTTCTGAAGCATGCCCACTCGAAACTCCAGACTGAGAAACGGTTATTCCCCACCTCCACCCCCCAGTCTTGCACTCAGTATCTTCTGGCTTTGCTTACCCCAGCCTCTATTTTCGCTTCGTTGCTTCTCAATACCCAGTTTTCAGATTGTCTTTTGGGAATAAAGACCAATCAGGCCACTTTGCAATAAAGCAAACCAGGGAGCACACAACCCAAAAGATCTGTTCTGAGAACTGCCATTTGTTGATTACTGTTAATTGCTGATGATAGTCTACCTAATTCCCTTTTATACCATCCATTATCACATCCACACTGGCAGATGATCCAGTGAATGAATTCCAGGTTCCAACCTCATGTTGGGTCAAATCTCAGCTACCACCATTGGCTTGAGGGCCACATCTGACTTTGCCTAGCATATCAAGGGCCACATTCTGGTGAGGCTCAGACCTGTTTTGAGGGGCATTTAGGGGTTCAAGGGTGCCTTAAGCTTCTGGTCTGGAGGCCAAGGCTTATGGGCTGTATTCCCACAATATGCAAAGACCCACAATATGGGTCTTAGCCCATAATCCTAAGGTTCATTCTCTCACTGTACTGAGTGAGAACTTCCTTTTCCTGCTCATCAGTTTCATTGCACAACCCAAGCGACTTGTGCTTATAGGGGATGTAGGGGGTGAAATTTTTCTTGAGCCATTTTCCCCAATTCCTTTTCTTAGGAGGGCAAACAGCACCCTTTAAACCAACATTTTTATCTTTTTGTGTGGAAGAGTCAAGGCCCAAACTAGCATTCTCGCCAAAGACAAGAACAGGATTTGTGACTGGCCATAACCTTTAACGAAAAGAAACAGAAAGTCTAAGGCCGCCCATGTTTCCTTTGGAAATCCTCGACTTTGTGAGATAGCCTGGGCCATCTGTCTCGAACCAGAAGCAAGCTTCACACTTAGATAAGCTCTCCCACCCCCATCCCCACACCACACGCCACCTCGAGTTCAGGGTGAAGCAGTATTGTTTCAAGTAAGCCTCCATGAATCCCACTACAACTACTTCACAAGGCACACCGCATCCTCTCCTTGTACAGGAGCAGAACAGCCTGCAGATATGGAGTTCTCCTTGTGTATTGGAATCCCTGCCTCAGTAAAAGAACATTGTCAAGTGGTCCCCTTCTCACAAAGCACTTTGAAGCACCCTTAGGTGCTGCGAGTTTGCTCTAAGTGTCAGCTCTTCTCCTACTTTCCAGGTCTACCCTGATTGTCCATCAAAGCTGTTCTTCGGCCTAAAGGGAGGGGAGGGAGAGATGTTGCTGCATCTGATTCTGGGTTCACACATAACATTCTTTCAATCTCAGAAGTGATGCTAGAGGAACAGTCCAAACAAACCTCTAATGCCACTGCTCTAACCTAGTTTGGACCATCACTCCCTTCAAAGTAAGAAAACGTCAGTTCATGCAATCACAATTCTCTCCCCTCCTATTTCTAGCCTTCCTTGCTCTCAGAACTTGGTAGCTTCAGGCAAAAGAGGTAGAGGAAGAATCAGGGAACAGCTACTTTGACCCAAATCAGATCGTTCAGCCACATCTCTTAGTAGCCCCATCTTGACAGCAGCTCTCTGGGAATTCTCCCCCAAAAAGTTGTCCAACCCCTTCTTGGAGATGTCAGGACTGAACCTGAGAGCATTTACCCATAAAGTCTGAGCTGGACCATTTACTAATGGACCTTCCCTTCCATCAAATCAGGCTCTCCTGAGTTTCATACAAGGGTTTTGCCCAGCTTGTCCTGGAACTAGCTGGAACTGAGCCTGAATACAAAACTCTGTGCTCTATCACTCAGCTTATGGACTTAGAGATGGCTTTAGGCATTGGTCTGGGTTCATTTGAGTTCCCACAAACCAAGGCTTACCTTGCAAATGACTGCTCACATCCCTACCCACCCCCAATTATCTCCTCCTCGTCACATAAGATAAGACAGAAGCTAGACACAGCAGGAGATGGAAGCAGTAGGGCGCCAGCTCCTATGGCGAGCTAATCAGGCAGCCCCCAAAATAGTACAAAGAGGAGAGGGTGAAAGCAAGATTCCCTCCAGCATCCTTGAAGTGGCACGTTCTGTTCCAAGCATTGGAAGAGGGCCATGTACCCACTTCACAGGCTTGTTACAAAGTGAGCAGGGTTTACCTTCAGAAAAAAAGACAAAAAGGTGAGACCTACCAGAAACAGCAGAATCAAACTGAGCTTTTGGGGGGATGGGGGGGAAATGGGGGAGATACTTCACTGGAGCTACCTAAAAAATGATCCAGAAATGGAAAGAGGAGAACTTGGCCAAAGCTTGAAAGGAGAATGCAATTATGACAATAGCTCAAGAGGTCTATTTTCTCCGCCAGCCTGATCTGAAGACAATGGTGTAATCCTGGAAGATTTGGCCAGGACAGGGGCTGGAAGAGGGACTGTAAACCTGTTGCAATAACAGTCATTCCACTAGGACTGGAAGAGAAAAAGGCTTCATCAGATATCCTCATATCTACTCTCTCCACTTTGTTCCAAGGTTCTCCCCTCTCATTGGCACCCACTCTTTCTCTTCCCACTTTCCTTGCTACCCAGTTGCTGTCCTGGATCCCCAGAGCCAAATAATCCAACCCCAATAAGCTCCGAACCTACTTGGATGAAGGGATATAAGCAAGCAAAACCACTTAAACATGATACTACACAGAGAAGTCATCATCTAGCAGAGGCAAATAGTTTTGAGAGCCAGAAATCTCACCTCCAGTTTAGAGACCCTGCTCAGTCACAGAAGACTGAGAATTAAGAACATGTAATAACCAAAGGGTTCTGGCACCTCATTTTGTTTGCCACTCTATCAGCCAATCTTAGAAGGGGAGGAAAGGTTTGTTCTCAGCTACCCCAAGATTAGATCTTCTGGGTAAGCTATGGGAGGGAAGATGTCTGACATCCCAAGAACCCTTTAGATGGTAAGAGCACTTGGACAATGGCATTGACTGCAGGGCAAGGAAGCAGTCTTTAACTAGGTCCTCAAGTCAAAATTAACCAGAGACCAGATCACTTTAGATGCTCTGACTTGAGCAAAAGCTCCTGCCCTTTTGCACCAGTGAATTTGCCAAATTCACCCAACTGTCAAGAAGCTATGAGGTAGTGACATGGATTCTTCACTCAAACACAAGCTTAAAAAGGGATACATTTGTGGACCAAGCAGAGGACCACCAAGGGAGTTTTTCATTTTTGTACGACCATGGAGGTTCCAGACCTCTGGGTATAAACCTGAAAAACATTTCTGTTGTTGTTGCCAACACTTTGTCTCTACACAAACCAGTGTGTTCTGCATCCCCCATGCTGGCCAATCTTCCAGAGGATGTTCTAATGCTTATTTCTCCCCTCCAGCAAACATGTACCAATTGCTAACTTGATTCCCATTCAAAGATGTAAAGAAGAAGGTGGGGAAAGAGGTAATCAATCATGCTTTGCAAAATACTGGAAAAGAGAAAATTGAAGAGGAGGTGTGTATGAACATTGTAAACATCCATGAAGGGCTGCCATACCAAACAGTGTGAAGGCAAGACTAGAAAGAATCAGCTTACATTTCAGAAAGATTCATCTGGATTGAAATGTTAGGGGGAAAGTTCATGAAGAACTACAAATATGAAACCAAGCCCCAAAAGAGAAGGTGGACTTGCCCTCACTGCAGGACTTCAAGCAGAGACTGGAGAACTGCCTCATGGGCAATATCTGACTTGTGTGTGTGTGTGCCTGTGAGTCCATGTTGACTTTTGGCAACTGCCTGGACTAGTCCCCGCAGTTTTCTTGTCAAGGTTTTTTGGAAGTGGTTTGCCATTGCCTCCTTCCTAGGGCTGAGAGAGATGGACTGGTCCAGAGTCACCCAGTTGGCTTTGTGCCTAGGGTGGGACTAGAACTCACAGTCTCCTAGCTTGTTGCCTTAACCACTACTCCAAACTGGCTCTCTGACTTGGCACTGTGCAAAAGTTTGAATATGGTTGACGTGATATGCCTGGAACACCTGTGTCACCCTCCCTTTCATCACTTCCCTCAAGGCTCTGAATTTTCAGTAAATGAAACTGGATTAAAAACTATGTATTTTCTAAAAAAGGCCTTTTATGCATCCAGCCCTGGCCATTATAGCAAAGAGATAATCTGAAATCTGAATCAGAAACAAAGGGAAGAAAAAGAAATGGAGAGAAAAAGCAGCAGATGACCTGTAGGTGGCATCCAGAAATACTCACCTATGCATTCGGTGTTGTAGATCTTCTCCTCATTCTGGGACTTGGCTTTGCGCTTCCCTGGAATTCCTGGGGGACCTGGAGGTCCCTGAGGCCCTGGGGGACCTGGAGGTCCTGGAGGACCAGGTTCACCTTTCTTACCTAGAAGCATCAATCCAAAACAGTGAGAAAGAGTTACTCCTGCTGAGAGCTTTGCTTGCTGCTGTGATGGTCTCCTCTCCCTCCTCCTAGAATTTATCAGAACCCAGAGGCTATCAGCATCAATAAAAACAATGTGGCCAGCTCCACCGCCATCAGGGCTGCTCCAGACCATCTCTGCTATCACAGGAGTCACTTGAAAACAGTGGACTCCAGGGCAGCTCCAGAAAACCCCACCTTGTAAAGTTGCAAACTCCTACCTGCACCTTAGCTACTTCCAAACTAGTTCTCAAAAGCTGTTTTTTAATGAGCTGTAACAGCCTGCAGAAGAAGGGCATCCTGTCCTGAAGAAGGACCATCTGAACCCCACTCCCTAGCTCTGCTTTCCATGGAAAGGTCAAGAAGATGGCAACAGGTTTTCACTCAGGACCAAAATCCCTGAGAACCTCATCCTGTGAGGTCAGCCACCTGCTGCACTGCAGCCACTCTGAGAAGGTTCCACAAAGATGGAGAGCTAAGGGTAGCCAAGAACTAGTATCAGAGTTGTTTCTTTCCCAAATCCTTTTCCTTTAATGATGTGCCCTTTTAACCACAAGCCCATTATTGCTGTTCCCTCTCTTGGCTGAACAACTGGATTTAAATAAAAGGAGACAGGTTGTTTCAAACAGATGCAAATCTGAGTCTTTAAGCAATAGTGAGAAAGGACCTTCTAGCCTGTTGGTGTCCAGCCCATGCACATCCTCAAAGCATCTTGGCTGACCACATTGGGGAACAAGCCTTTCCCACCCTGATGTCCTCCAGATGTGTTTCAATTACAAATCCTTTGAAGTCATAGTACCAACACATCTGGAAGGCATCAACTTGCAAAAGGCTGGTTTCCAACTCCACCACCACTATGCTTTTTTCAGACCAAAATGTCATCTTACCTTCTGAAACCAGTTCATTATTGGTCTCTCCTTTGTCACCCTTGGGCCCTCTGGAGCCCTTTTCACCTCGTCCCCCCTCTTTTCCAGGTAAGCCAATTTCACCAGGATCCCCTTTTTCACCTTTCTCTCCAGGGTCACCCTTAGGTCCTGGAAAAGACAGGAGAATATTAAACAAAAATGCAATTCAAAGGGTTGGAGGAGATTTTCATACAGACCCACAAAGGATATCTGAATTCAACCCATGATGTTTTTCCCCCCTGGGAGGAGTTTGCAGGGAGTTTCAAAAGGTCACCTGACCCCTTGAAGTTATCAGGGGCATAGTCTGGTCTTGAATCTCAAACCCCTACTGCTTTTGTTCCCCTGTAGTTGGCTCAAGAGAGAGGATCTGGATTCAAGTATCCACCTTCAACCTCCCACGGCACAGGCCTAACTATGACATTCAGTTTGTCGCTCCCCACAGAGAGGGTACATTCAATTTCAGGCAGCCTGCAGATAGCCAATCCTCCCCCAGAACTCTGAACTGGTACAGTCTCTGCCTGATTTGCCTGAAGTTCATCAATGGTTCCAAGGATTAAGCTGGAACAGAGAAGATGGATCAGTTTCGTAACTCATGTTTGTGAATATACCTGTCTTCCCTCTTTTTCCTGGTTCACCCCTTTGTCCAGGAATACCAGGAACACCATCAGATCCGTTCAAACCTGGCAATCCATCAATTCCAGGGGGACCTGATGAAGTCAAAGAAGATTTTTCAGTGTTCTGCCCCTTCCCAACAGAAAATCAGACACTGAAAGACAGAAGGAGGTACTTCCAAGTGAAGATGCACAGGACCATGTTAGTCCTTTACCAATGATGGTCATGGGCAGAAGGGGAGGAGGGGAGGGCCAATTTCTCCATTGCAACCAAGATCATCTGACCTTGTTATTCGCCCCCAGTGATGTGGTTTTCATATCAGGCTAAGCCATGGCGTGTTATGTTGCATAAACTGGTAGGATTCACATATACAACACATTAAACCGTCCACCATGGTTCAGAAGTTGTAAGGGTTTGATTCACCATAAGCCAAAAGCAAGTTTCATGGTTGTCACACCCAGCCATGGTTCAATAACATTATTCTTATTTTTGCTTCCATGGCGCTACCAGCATCCAGGGGTCATTCTGGAGTTCCAAGCAGCCAACTCTAGCAAATTTCTGACTGAAAATTCAGCAAAAGGGAAATAACAGAAGAATGAGAAAGAAAGTGAGAAAGCAGGAGAAAGAGAGGAGGAGTTTGGTGCTTCTTTTTTTTTCAGTAAGACCAAGACAATGGGGCCAGAAAAGAAAATATATATACTACCTGGTAATCCTGGTGGACCTAAACAGAGAACAAAAGAACAAATTACAAATCAAGACTAAATGTAACTTAATACTAAACCAAGAATACAAGTCTTAGGACGATGCCAACATCTTACAGAAAAGAAGAAAAATCTTTCAAAGAGGACACCCAGACTCAAGAGCCATTTAGACACTGGGTACATCTCACCTTCCCAAGCTAAGAACATATTTTTAACTGTCTTTGTACAGAACTCTATGTTCCCAACAGGGAAGGTTTAAAAAAAAAAAGCAAGAAGTTAAAGAGGTCCCTTTCCCTAATGTCAGTGCACTGAAAATCAATCTTTCAAAAGCAAGTAAGCAGACATCATCAAGCCCAAGACATACAACCTATGAAGCTGCATCAATTGCTCCTGGACAACCTCCACCCCTTGTCCTGAAATTCAGGTAATGGCTCCGCTAATTGGAGTGTATCAGCCTTATAAGGTAGTCCAGACAGGAAGCAGGCCCAGATGAGTTAATTCTATTTTATTGCAAGGTTACATTAACAGATTCTTGCAAGTCTGAAAGTACAATTCTTCCCCCATCTCCTTTATAGTCTGAGAAACTACAGAGGGTCCCTTCTGAGACATTTGCAACACTTCAATTCCTTCTGCAGGCTCAGCTGCCACTTATCCGACTGTTCCCCTGGCTGGGGCTCTTCCCCCTGTCCCCCAAGGTCATTCCCAAATAGCACTACAGAGTAAGAGAGACACACCATTACTTAACCCCAGCCAAAGTAACTCAGCAATTATGGAATGTGGGGTTGGAGTCCCCCTAAGAACTGCATAGGCTTATTAATTTGCATCAAATATAAAACAAGACATTAGATCTACATGTCGGGGAGAGAAAGGGAAAAAAACCTGATCTTGATGAAATACATTACAAAGATATGGGGACAAAAATTCATTATCCTGCCAAACTGGTTGACACAATGCAACACAGCATGTTTCATTCCCATCCCAGGTTCACCGAATGTAATCAATCTGCTCACGTAAGAAATAAGAAGAAATAATCCCTATTGTAGCCTAATGTGATGGTCTGGTTCATATATGTGAAAGCAAAGATTGGGTTCCCACCATAAGCTTGTCTAGACCAACAGGTTGTACAAACCCAGCCTGTGTTTCATTTTTAACTGTGAGTCTTTCTAAGCTGTAAATAGGCACACAAAGAGATCAGGATGGGGCACCACACACATCAAAGGAAAATAACTCTTTCCTCCAAGACCACCATCACCCACGACCTTACCTGTTAAACACACTCCTTTTGTGCTGTTGCACAACTCAAGCATTACCCGGACCTAAAACAGTAAGACATTCCAAAGGTTATCTGCAATGCATGGGATTTGTAATCTGCACAGATATGTTAGGGAATGTAAATGTAAATCTAAATTTGGATTCCTAGCATCCAAATAATTTTAACAGTTGCAAATCTGTGGTTGTAATCTTGGCTCATGTGAGACTTTTTAAAATCCTATTTTGTACCTTTTGGGTGATGAAAGAAAAGGGTATAAATAAAGAATAACTCTCAGACTGGAGCCCTGCTCATACTTACAGTAGAAAATTCCAGCTTAGAAAGACTCATGCCCACACGTAAGGCAGTTTCATCTGAATTTTAATTCCTAGCAAGCAAGATTTAAGGTTTTTCTGAGCCTAAAGCTCTGGGAGGCTTCTGATTGTAAAGCTTCTGCATTGTGCTGGCAATGAGGGAGAAAATGTTTCTAAAATCCCACTTTTCTTTTAATTCAGGGCCAATTAATAATGATGAGTCCAGACCTTCTGGAAGGGGAAGAGCACTGCTCTTTGTACAGACAATATTGCTTACACTGAGAGAAAATGCAATGTCCCAAATGAGGACAAACGGGGCCCGTGTTCCAAGATGAGAGCCAGACTAACTTTCAAAGTAAGGCCACAGGTTGACCTTACCCACTAAGGTCATGGTGGAAAGAACAGGCAAAGACAGAAAGATTGTTTTAAAGCCAGTCATCATAATGATTAGGGACAATCCACTTCTCAAACTCTGCCCACTCCAAACGTATGTACTGGAGTAAAATCCCATCAACTCTCCAGTGTTGTGACTTGCGATGTTGTGGCTGGGAGCCTGGTGTTCTGTACACTCCAACCTAACTCCTTCTTTGCTCCTTTGTAGAACAGAGGTCCCTAGCATTGATCAGTAGAGTCACAAGGAGTTCTGCTAGAAACCACAGAGGGCTGTCGCATCTTGCCCAGGCCATTTCAATAGAGGTATCTTGAGAGAGAAAAGTAACACTTCTCACATCGATAGTTCTTGGAGAAAGGCCTCCCCTGAAGATCTGAATATGTAAGCAGAACGGTACGAAAGGGCAGTGGTCCCTCAAATATTTGGACCTCAAGCTCTATTTAAAAGATAATCATCAATAACTTGAACAGGACTCAGTAGCATTCCTTCAGAATTAGTATAAAGGAAGTCCTCCAAGAATTAATATAATGAAACCATATAGACCAGCCTTTTCCAGCATGGGTGCTTCTACGTGTGTGGACTTCAACTGCTAGAATTCTCCAGCCACAGCCTCATCTGATTCAGGTAACACTGAGAAACCCCATTGGGTGTCATCAACATATTGAGGATACCCTGGTTCAAATCCAAAGGTGACCTCAACCAGCAGATTCATCTCAGTCAGGAATTCATAACCTGCTTCCTCAGGATCACCTCTACCCACCAGCACCAAAGCCTTGGATGCAACTCCTTAGACCCTTTCAAAAGATGCTGCCCTTCCTGAATTTGACTGCATGAGGTCATGAACGTATAAGGTGCAATCGTACAAACTGCATTTAACTTCTGAATTGGAATGGAACTGAACATTAAATCAAAACTTATTTAGCCTTGGCTTCAGCCACTTCTTTGTCCTGTCTCTGCTCACTTTTGGGTGTGGCCCTGGGTGTAGCATTCAAAGGCCAAAGATGAACTTGAGCTTGAAAAAGTTGTCCAACTCCATATAGATGTCCCAAAATGGAAGCTGGCAGGATCATACAGCTGTGCAACTACGGAGGTACCCATCTGCAAGCAACAGGTAAGACTGGAACATACGCTCCCTTGGCCTCCTATTCTCAACCCACCAAGAAGACAATATACTATGATTGAGAAAATCAAAACTGGCTGAAAGATTAGGAGAAAAAAGCAGTGGGGTCATGCTCCTCTCTTTCCTCCCATACTGGCCATTCACTGACAGCCCAAACCTGTTTCAGAATCTTGGACTGTGGGTGGCTTAGAAGAGACAATGGTGCATTAGCAAGCTTGATTCAGTGAATAAGAAAAATGAATGGAGGTAGCGTGGGTGAACATTACATCCTGAATGTCCACAAAATTGTTTCTTCTGCACTGCACCCTGGGCTTTTCACTTGATCAACAATGGTTAATCATACCAATTTCATGTTTTGTTGCATCTTCCACCCTCATCCAATCCCAAGGCATGTCTGCTTGTGAAGACAGGGACACTCTCTGCCCCAGAATGTTTGTTTCCTTTCCTCCCCAAACAGCCAAGGCTTGGTGCCTAAAGAGAGATTAATTGCCCACTTTCTGCACCCAAAAGAAGACGGTGAGGAAGCTGTGCTATGAGTCATTAAGAGAAGACGCAATGAGAGGGAGGTAGAAATGGCATCTTCTTATATTACTTTGGCACAAACAACCAGGCCAGAACAAGAAAAGGCCCCTCACTTTTCCTTGTTCAGGCGTTTATCTCTGTACTAAAATCCAGCCAGAAAATTAACACGCTGCTATTGAAAACACAAGAAAAGAGGCAACATAGAAAACGTGAGAGGGTCTTCCAGCCTTCTGATCCCATTGCTCTGTGATAAAGCACAACGTAGAAGCAAAAATCTGCAAAACGTAAAACAGAATTGTACAGGAGTCTCTTTGAGCCAAGCTCAACTTGTGGCCTTCATAGACTCATCCATGTAGTTTGCTTAGTAATGATGTGGAATGGGGGGGGGGTACCACTGCCTCTGGGATTATTACTGTTGGTCACACAGTCAGACAGATGTTTAGACTGGATTTGGCATTTTTATCCACCTGTCAAGTCCTTCCCAAGGACTGGGATAGGCAGATGTCGTTGTTGGATGGCATTAAAGATATCGTTGCAGGATGTAAGCTGTTCCCAGTAAAGCTGTCTTTTGCAATTGACTGATGGTGATTTTGTCAATGCCGATGGTATTATTATTATTATTATTATTATTATTATTTCCCAGACTATCCAACAGCTCTATGATTTCCTAGAAGTCTCCCACCCAAGTACTAGCCAGGTCCAATCCTGCTTAGCTTCTGGGAAATCAGCCAAGGTCAGCCAGGTGCTGTGTTTAAATCGTTGGCATGAAGCTTGCTGAGTTGTCTACACCATAAGGCTATTAGAAAGATTAAAAAGCAGGTGGAGGAAAAGCACAGGACTCTGACAGGGGCAGATTAATTCAGGCAAATATTGATTAGCTAATGCAGACCAGACAAACTGGGGTCCTCCTTGAGATGAAGATGTCAGGTATCAAATGCTGGACATTCTGTGTGCAAAGCATCGGTGAGTGCTTTGAATAGCTCCGGGCACCAGAAAGGTTAGTATGCTAGTAGTAGGATAGACAGGTGATTGATTGATTGATTGATTGATTGATTGACTGATTGATGATTATGTGCCATGAAGTTGGTGTTGACGCTTAGCAACCACATAAATAGTTTCTCTACAGGACAGCCGGTCCCAGTCCTTCAGCTCTTCCAATGACGCCCCATGGCCACTGTCATTGAGTCTAACCCCCTTGCTGCTGGTCATCCTCTTCTTCTCTTTCCTTCCACCTTTCCCAGCATTATAGGCATTTGAAGCTAGGTCTTCATGTTAGTTAATTGATTATGTGCCATGAAATTGTTTTTGACTCCTAGCGACCGCATAGATCGATTTTCTCCATGACAATCTATCCCTAACCTGGTCCCTCAGCTCTTCTAATGGCGCCCCATGGCCACTGCCATTGAGTCCACCCACCTCGCTGCTGGTTGTCCTTTTCTTCTCTTTCCTTCCACCTTTCCCAGCATTAGAGCCTTTTCCAGGGAGCTGGGTCTTTGCACAATGGGTCCCAACTATGAAAATTTGAGCCCGTTCATTCGTCTCTCAAGTGAGCTACTGCATACCTTGAACAATCATGGCTGACAGTTTTAGAAACATTGGTTACTTATTGATTATGGATTACTTCCAAGTAATCACTTCTGATTTTCTTTGGGGATACCAGCTAACTTGCAGCAACTAATGATCTATCCCAAAGCCAAGATGCAGGAAAAGAACATACTGACCGTGTTCTTTAAAGCAATCCTGGAAACTAGACTCTCGTACTGAACGTCAACAGTGAAGCTTTCAGCCTAACTGCCTCTCCAGCACAGAACAAGCAGCCCTGAGCAAGTGTTCTCAAGTGTGGCCACACCATCATCTAGAGAATCAATCTAGCTATAATTATATGGAGAACTGGAGCATCTCCCACTCATCTTTGGGGGGAATTTTCCAACCACTCCCTGCCTAGCCCACCTAAAATCCAGCAGGCTCCTGCAGAGAGAAGGGCACAGGAAGGAAAAAGAGGGCTGGTGAAGAGGATGGTGAGAGGTTAGGAGGAATCATTTAAATCAGCCTTTCTCAACCTCAGCAGCTTTAAGATGTGTGGACTTCAACTCCCAGCCAGCATGAATTCTGGGGGTTGAAGTCCACACATCTTAAAGCTGCTGAGGTTGAGAAAAACTGATTCTAAATCACCTCCAGCACTCAGATGCGGTTTTGATCGCGCTGATAGTCCTGCCACATCCATCAGAAGTGAAAGCTTTTCTACTCGAGGTCACCTCTTTCATGTGTGTGGGGGGAGGCTTCCCTGACTATGGCAGCACCTGGCCAGCTTCGGCTGTCTTGAAAAAACTGTAGAGAAGCAAGAAGAAAAGCTCCAGAAACTCAGCTGGACTCTTCCCACAGCCCCTGCCACGCACTGCCCTGCGGAGGAGGATTCCAAGAGCATCTTTGTTTTTCGATCACATGGAGGGCGTTTTTAGTTTCAAAGGGCTTTAATGCTCGGGTGGTTCTCTTGGGAAGCAAGATAGAAACGATGTAGGTTTGCACAGCAAGGAATCTCCCCCAGGTGTTCAAATCACTTTCGGGATCTAGTTTCACCATGCACAGCCTGTGATCCTCAGACAGAGGTTTCAACCGCTGCAGGGCAGCAAGGATTCAACAGGTGCAGCACAGGAGTGTTCAGCCGAGGGAAGGAAGCCACACCCCCTGCTCCTCTGCCTTTAAGAGAGCATGG